GACTCAAAGAATGCAAAACTAACAATAAAAACACTCAAACAAATCAAAAGACTCAAAGAATACAAAACACTTATAAACACAAATTAAGACACTTTTTAACTAAATTGGACACTAAGGTAAAGGGGGATTGAGGTTTTGACGACAATAAATTAAATGCACAAATTGTAATTTAACGGCAGAATTTAAATATGAATGTAATGAAATATGGAATGAATGCTAGCTAGAAGGTTCTTCTCCACACATGTTACACTTGCATACAAAATGATTTTCAGTTGGTCTTTCGATAAATTATGAAACTCAACGCCCCAAATTAACCGTGAATTGCACTAATTAACCCTCAGTTTTTCCACAAGTTATTAAGTTGGATGATTGCATACGACAACCCAAAACATTCCCTACAAGTTCCCTACATGAATTGCATAATAGAGATACAAGCAAGAATCATTAAGTTCTATGAAAAACATAAGCATTGACGAAGCATTCGTTACTATGAATTGCATGAAACTTATGCTAAGAATACATTCAACGCGATCGTTTTCAAGCGACCTTCACTACTTGTGATTATAAGATTGTAACTATTAGGTGAAACTCCCTCATAATCTAGCATCATATTCATGCATGAAAACTAAGCGTGCACTCTCAATCAACATACACAAATAAGCTATCAATCAAATAGATGAACGAATTGAATCCACAACTTATGAAATTCCAACCAAAAGTAATCAATTCATATTGCAAGCATAAACATGGTTTCGAATCACCCCCTAGCTAACTAGGGGGATTTAGCCTCTCATGTTCGCAAAAAGAGAAATACAATTGAATTTAAACATAAAGAACAAAGGATTGATTACACCTAAAACGCCCAACGAATCCACTTGAATTTCTGCGCGTCTAAGTCCTCTTTCCTCTTCTCCTTGCTGCGACAGTGAGGTTTTTGGGAATTTCTGGAAGTTGTTTTGGGTTGGGGACGGATTTAGGGAGGATTGGTGTTGCGGCAATGGTGGGAAGTGTGTGGAATATGGCTGGAATGGCTGAAGGGAGGCACGGCAGAGAAGAAAATCTGTGGTTTTGGATTTGCGGCTGTTGATAAAAATGGGATAATATGGTGTGAAGATGGCTCGGCAAATGGAGAGGAAAAATATGTGAATGTGGCTGCTGGATGGATGAATGATGTGGTAATGGTCTTGCGGCTGTGAGTGGGAATTCTGTGGAATGGTCTTGCGGCTGTGATGGGGAATTATGGGATAATGGCTCGGTTTTTGGAGGGCTGCTGGAATGATTTATGCGGCTAAAAGACAAAGGAATGGTGGCCGCGCTGGAATGTGTTTTGGGGAAATATATGCGGCTGGTTTTTGTTTTTTTATGGGAGCACCGCTTAGAATGAAAATTAGGGTGGAGAATGGATAGAATTAGGTTGTAAAAAAATGTGGCTGCCGTGTTTAGGGTTAATTAGGTTATGGTTTTTGGTGAATGAATGGTGTGAAGGTGCGGCTTCTTTTGAGAGAATCAGGGGATAATGGCTGAATGGAAAACATGCATGAATCACGGCTTGGGAATTATGGGAAAAAGTGATTAATGGCTGAGATTGTTTTATCAAATAAATGGATGGGATTGTGACAGCTAAAGATGTAAAACCTAGGGTTTTAAATATGTTTGGTTCCTAGCTTATTTTTATTAACGAAAATAAATTCAAAGGCTTCTAGAATTAGGAAATAAAATCAGAAATTAAAGAGGGAAAGATTAAAGGGTGTGGCTAGGGCCTTGGTTTTGTGTCCTAAAGCGCCTACAAGGAATTCAAAGTGGCAAGAAAATACGGATGTTTAAGATTAGGAAAGGTTACCAAAACGGGAAACTTAGGGTTAACTTTCCTAAAATAGGAAACCTTGTTTGAGTAGGATTCCTCGTTTTGGTAAGAATTCATCGTTGGCATAGGAATTCGTCGTTTCTTCACGTCTTCAACTCATTCATTCCTCTTTTGCTCCAAAAGGCTCCAATTTGCATCTTCTTGCACACTTTGGCCTTATAATCTGAAAATACACAAAAATGGCCTTAAACACTAAAATAACTAAGTAAACACAACATAAATGCACGAGAACAAGCTAATTAAGTCGCATGAATATGCTCCTATCAATTCCCTTAATGAGCACCTACATGCTTGTCTTAGTGTCGCTACACGAATGGGATGAGACTTTCCATCCTTCCAATTGAAGTGGACATAGTATGTACCGGTCTATGGATTGTCAGTATCCCTCCGACAATCCTTATGACCAGGAACCTTTTTGGACATGATGGTTATGAGAAGAAGGTCTCTGTAATCTAACATCATTAGGTTACTTCTTCCATCGATCCATTGTCCATGGATTCACTATTTAGGACATATTTTGTTCATTGAGATAGTCCTAATTAGTATCTTTGCCTTCCGATGTATAAGAGTCATATATACATCAATTCATTGTCCTGAAAGGTTTCTTCCAAAGATTGACTTTCAGGGCATATTTCCAACAATCTCCCACTTGCACTAAAGTCAATCACTAGTGTATCTTATACATGCTAGTTGAGTGAGCTTATGCTCGTAGGTTAACTTGGTTATGTATTAATCACCTTTTAATTTAAAAGGGATTTACTTATCAAATGTTTCTAAAACATTTTGATGATGTCTCTTTCTTGTGTTCGAATACTTTGATGAGACCTTGATTCCATGGCTTGAGCTATCGCCCCATTATGTCGTAGTATCCTACTAACGACCTTATGGTTTGGATTCAATCATTGGTTCTAAAAGAACCCCTTCCTTTCAAAACACCTTTTGAAGCAGTTTCTAAAACAATATATTGACATATATTTTGTTTGTATACTTTATACAAACTTTGCTCCAACTTTGAGACCATTGTAGTACGATACTAGCAATACATTCATATGATTAGTACTTCATCCATTATGAAGTTCCATTTGTTAAAATGGGTTATTTTCACTTTGGTTCGTAACCTAAGTGAATGCACGCTTCCAAAGTCCCACTCTGATATTCCTTTCTTAAAGGCAATAATACTCTATCAGTTGCTTTGGTTCTGATCCTGGAATATAGTAATATCTTAAAGTGATAATCCATGGTTTTTCACTTTTGGATATCTACTCACAAGTCCATACATGTGTCCCTTTTGTGATTTTATGACACATTCATTATAAGGGATATGAAAATGATTTTCTATCATATAGGAAAATGCTTTCTTAAATTAAATTTTATGATTTGAACCATGAGGTGACGAATTTGAACCATGAGGTGACGAATTTGGATTATCTTGTTGTTAAACTATATGTTGTGACTCATTTTGAAACTATTCCCTTTTGTTTCATCAACTTGTCCATATGCTTTGTTATTAGCTTGTTCTCATAAAAGAGAATGATGGACAACTTCCAACATATAACCATTTTATGCTAGGTTGACGAAATCAACATTCAAAGACTATTCTTTAGAATGTTACACAACATAGAATTTTAACGTTTTGAAGAGCTTGAGTCTTTTAACAATTAAAATTACAAACTCTTAATAATAGTCAAATACTATTATTATTTAGACAACTATAAACCAATCATATTCAAGTTTATATCCATTTTAACACCTCCCACTATTTCTCATGACTTTAATGAGAAATAATTTCATACATTCAAAAATGTATAGACGTGGAATATACGAGTAGAGGACATTGTGCAGTAGCTTTAAAACCTTTCAAGCTCATTTGTTTCAACCTTCATTAAGTTGATGCCTTGTTATTAAGTGATTGAAATCTTTAAACTTTTTATAGATTTAGACACTTCTTTCTTGGTTTTAATCACTAACACACTTAACATTTTAAAACAATTTTAAGAATGCCCAATTAGTTGTTCAAAACTACTAATTGAATCAAGAGTGACCTTGATTATTGTGGTTTAAGTGATAACCATAGAAAACATTTTTCTTATTACTTATATCATTATAATGTGATATAAATCTTGTATCTCAACTAGGATACAACAAGACAATATTCAATTCATAACACTACTTTAAGGAAATAATATATTAGAAGGCATTCTTCACATTACATTAATATGATAATTCAAACATTCATAATGTTTAATACAAAAGACATTAGCTCTATACTTTTAGAGACTAATTAAAATACCTTCATACATTTAGGCAATATTAGTGATCATCCATCATATGAAGCCACATAATAAGTTCTTAACAAAATAAGAGAGTTTAAAGACAATCTTTAAATGCCTAACAAACTTCCGAAGTAGTAAGCAAAAACATGGTGATCGAACCCTTCTCCACCTTTCCTTTGCTTGTTCCTCTTCTACTTGGCTTCTTCACCTATATACAATTATACAAGTGATTAGCCTTTTATATCAAATATAAATATTTAGAAGATCTAACATTTAGAATTGAAGATAAGAACATAAACCATACCTTTTGGTTTGTCCTTAAGAGTTGCAAGGTAAAACCTGCAATTCCTCCTCCAATGCCCCTCCTTTCCACAGTGGTGGCAAGTCCCCTTGGGCTCCATTGCCTTTTTCTTTTTCTTCACTCCTCCTTTCGGCTTAGGAGTGGGAGACTTTATCTCCTTCCCCTTTCCTTTGCCATACGACTTAGGATTGGAAGAGGATGGATTGTTGTAGGCTACTGCAACAGTCCCTACAACGTTCTCTTTCATAGTCTTCTCAGTAGTTACTAACATATTTAGTAACTCAGAGAGAGTATGATCCATCTTATTCATGTTGTAGTTCATTACGAACTGCGAAAATGAATCAGGAAGAGAAGCCAATATAAAGTCCTGGGCCAATTCCCCGTCAAATGGAGTACCTAGGTTCTCCAGTTGTTCTATGAATCCTATCATCTTCAGTACATGTTGATGCATTGGAGCCCCTTTGACCATCTTGGTCTTCACAAGTTCACAAACAGTGTTAAAGCGACGGTTGCGCGTCCCTTCACCATATAACTTCGTAAGATGGAGTATTATGGAAAATGCACTGTCCATGCCCTCGTGCTGTCTCTGTAGCTCCTCATTCATGGAAGCCAACAGATAGCACTTGGCTTGTGTATCATCCTCAACGTGCTTGTCATACTTAGCACGTTCATCCTCTGTGGCCTCAGGGCCAAGAGGTATGTCAGGAAGAGGCTTGTCAAGTACGTAAATAATCTTCTCCAATGTTAGGAGAATCTTGACATTATGATACCAGGTTGGGAAATTATGCCCCTCTAGGCAATGTTTGTCGAGTATTTTCGCGAACGTGCTTCCAACCATATCTAAATACATAAACAATAAAATAAATTAGTTTGATTGTTGATTAAGTCACACGATTCGGGTCTTTAAACCGAATGACACCACCCACCATTTTTGGCAAATTCCATATCCCTCAATAGAATCCGAGAGTTATGTTGAACTCTTAGCGGGGTATGGGAGACTCACCATTACCAAGCCCACCTCAGAATTATATCATGTTGGTTAGCAAAAATAATGATGAGAGAATAACACTTTAGTCATTTACAACTCTTGTAATTACCCATCTAGTTTGGCCTCTAGAGAATGAATGCCTCAGAATTATATCATGTTGGCACCATTGCACTTAGTTAAGTTATTCCCATCATGCTTAGTTTATGTAGAGGTTCAAGCACAACCTCAGAATTATATCATGTTGGTCATACTTGTTGTCTACACTCACCTCATCATATGTTTATGGACTCCTCCTGGGTGTAAGCACATACTTTGTACTTCCCCATTATAGGGTGAAGCCGGTGCATGAGTCACAAACGATTGGAGCCCACCACGGTGGAAGGCCTACGAAGAAATGTTCAAAACATCTCTCGTTTATCAACTTAATATTCTTTGTTGGTTGAGGGATTTTAAGGTCTCATCAATTTTATTTATTTAAACATATTCAAATAAATTGTCCTATTACAACTACTAGTCCAAAGTTAATGAAATTAGTAGCATATGATATCCCCACTATTCGTTTTCATAAAACAAATCAATATCAAAACATTTTTCAAAATATTGGAGATATATATAACTACTAATTGAAATCATCATAGTTTAGTAGCGTATGATACTCCCACTATTTGTTTTGAGAAAAACAAATCAATATCAAAAAAAAAAAAAATGAATTTTTCAAATATTGGAAGTAACTACTACTACTATGGTTTTTGCAATCCTCTGAAATTGGACTTTATAGTTATCTTAGGCTCTTGGATGACCATGGACTTATTTGGTTATTGCAACAACGAGCCAACATTGTTGAATAAGATCTCGGGGAGGTTGTGTCATTTTAATTACGTGTTTTTCAATCCAATTAAAACATTTTCATTGAGCCATTAGAAATGAAAGACAATCATTCATTGCTTATTAGGGCGTTGGACCCATTTAATCTTGAATCTCATGTCAAAACCCTCTTTTAGTTATGTCTCCTTACCAATAGTTAAAGAAACTCTAGTCTAGCACTAGAGGGAATCAACTAACTAAAAGAGATTAAGAAGTAATAAGAATTACAAACCGATTTGTACAAATTCCTACAAATTACACATACTAAGAGGGAGAGATAGATTAATGTCGAAACGTGACAAGGTCCAATTGAAACAGTAATTAAAACACATTCCCAAGGTTCAAACAATTTGATTTTAGCGCCTTATCTCATAGCTCAATTATCGTTTAAGGCATAAGTCCATAGTCACCCATTTTCTAACTACTTAATCATATTAAATAATCAAATGGAATGCAACATATAAACAATTAGATTTAGTGCATATGGGCATAATATTATGTTGAGTTCAAACAATTAAAATCAAACATTTTAACTTTAACAAATAGTAAGGGCCTAAATGCAAATATGAAAAAGTTAGGGGTTAAACCGTAAATACTCAAAAGTAAAAACAACCTTTTAAATTACAAAAACCCCACAAGTGGGAAATCCACTAAGGGTGGCCGGCCACAATTTAAGGGATGGGATATCTCACCCAATTTTGCATTGAACCAACATAAAGTAGAAGAAAAATATATCTTGTTTGTCACTTAGTTTTGCTTTAAGGACTTTAGGGAAAAGGGTGATGGAAATATATATCTAGACAAGTCTAGGTATTAATTTAAATTTTGGTGTAGGCTATGGATGGTATGTACATCATCCATAACCACAAAACAATGCATGTAAAACCATTTTCACCAAAAAACCAAACCATGAACACCAAGAACAAAACCATGAACATATTTTCAAGATTTGTATGTTCTTGGTGATTTTTCAAACCCAAAAAACAAAAGTGACAAGATCACTACTTTCTAGCTTCAAAGTGTGTTTGTGAAGTTCAAAACAAAACACAAACACTAACAAAAAAAAAAATCCCATTTAGCCGAACCCCCTTTGAGGAATAAAACCCCAAAATTTTTGTTCCTAAACCCTCTTTTCATTCATGCATCCAAAACATTTTTGCATACATATCTTTCTCAACTATTGATACACCTTTTCAACATTTGAAAAGACAAAAGATAAACATATTTTGAATGAAAACAATTTAAACTCAAACTTCATTCATGCATCAAAAACACTTTTTCTTGCATATCCTTTTCAACTTTTGATTTACAATTTTTCAACACTATGAAAAAACAAAAGATAAACATATTTTGAATGAAGCAATAATATGACATACATAAAATTAAAACCCATATGCATAAAATCTAAAAGGACACATCATACATAAACCTTTGGCTCTGATACCACTTGAAGGGAAATCTTTGAGATTCATGTGGGATTTCTAGTGACTAGCATGCATATACAATTCAAAATTTATATACGAAAGCAACGGAAGCATGTCATACATTTTATCAAAGCTATAGTCATGCAAATCCCCTTCAAGATGCATAGGTTTATATAAGATGCATCAAAACAAAATTTATAAGAAGAACAAACTAGAGGTTTAGTTTTATACCTCTTGATCTAGATCTTAGACCAAGGATGGACCACCTTCAAGATCTTTGCTCCTCAAACTCCTTGAGCCTAGCCTCCCTCCTTGCTTCCTCCACTTTGTAAAGTAAGTGCTCCTAGGTTCTCTTCAAGTTTCCAAAGATATGAAAACCTCTAAAGATCCTCACCCACTTTGTAATGAGAAAGATGAAGGAATAACCAAAAGAGTGTATAGATGATTAGTTAAATCACCCCCTTGGTGGCCGGCCCTTTGTGTTCAAGAGAGAGAGCTTTTCTTTTCTCTTTTGTTGTATTTAGAACACATTAAAACCCTAATGAACTTTGTGTTATAAAGTTGCTTTTATAGACAAAAGAAACAAGTCAACATTTTGACCTATCTCTCCCTTGGTGGCCGGCCATATGTGTTTGGTTTGGGCTTTGGGCTTTTAATTATTTCAAGTCATCCAATGCTTGAATGAAAGCCCAATGGGTTTTGGCCCAATGGGCCTAATTAAACCCGAACGTTTCTTTAAGCCCAAAACGATCTTTATCGCTTTTATGATTTCTTTAGACTTTCTAAATTAATCAAAACACTTAATTAATCCAATTAATTATTTCCTTCATCCATTAGTTACTCACTACAAGAGTGTATTGGTGAACAATCTTTTAGGTTCTAATTAGCAAGGCAGTGAGGTGATTGGCACCAATCCAATTGATTATCCAATCACTTAGTGAATTAAAACTTACTTTTAATTCACCTTCCTTTTGATGACTACATTTAATCATCTAGAAGAACTCACAAGCCATGAGTGACATCTAACCATATATCATGGCTACCCAAGCTAATGTAGAAGTTATTCGGAGAACCTATTCAGTTGGAATTACAATGTAATTCGATCCTTCTCTAAAACAATACTCTCAATCACATTACTAGGGTATGGATTTATAATGTCAAACCCCTAATGTGATTATTCCTTCTTATACGATTCATTTGAGACGTATAGGAACGCTTTCCTTTATTACGCTCGATACTTCGGCCGAAGATTCCCGAATCATATCTTAGAGTATTCATCCTCTCTTATCGAGGATTAGAGATTCCTTGTTGCGCATTCACTTGCCTTCATGGCTAAGTGGCTTAACCCCAACGATGCCTTGGACACTCGCGAACGGAATGACTTTAACATAATCAAAGATTAAGTACTTAACCACAAGACAACGACGATGCCTCAGGTCAAAGGATTACTTACATTATTCCAACCATTAGAGTTACTTGCTTGACATGTGAGTAGACCTCCATGCAAGTACTCTCGTTCGATTGTGTTCAGTGAACTCATTCCCTTAATGAGCACCTACATGCTTGTCTTAGTGTCGCTACACGAATGGGATGAGACTTTCCATCCTTCCAATTGAAGCGGACATAGTATGTACCGGTCTATGGATTGTCAGTATCCCTCCGACAATCCTTATGACCAGGAACCTTTTTGGACATGATGGTTATGAGAAGAAGGTCTCTGTAATCTAACATCATTAGGTTACTTCTTCCATCGATCCATTGTCCATGGATTCACTATTTAGGACATATTTTGTTCATTGAGATAGTCCTAATTAGTATCTTTGCCTTCCGATGTATAAGAGTCATATATACATCAATTCATTGTCCTGAAAGGTTTCTTCCAAAGATTGACTTTCAGGGCATATTTCCAACACTTTCAGGGCATAATTATTGGCAAGCACGTGCAAACTTCTATTCTCGTACTTAAGCTGTTTGATCTCTTGCTTGAGATTTTCCACCTCTGCCATCAATGATTCAACCTGACGGGAGCGAGCGAGTAGGCGTTGGCCCATGTTGGACACAGAGCCCGCGCACTGAACACTGAGAGCTAGGGACTCTTGAACGGCCAACTCATCGGACCGTCCTGAAAGCAGCTGACTATCTTTAGGAGTGAAGAGGTTCCGAGCTACTATCGTAGCTGTTGTTGCATCCGTCATCACAGAGTCTTCACCTATAAGAGGGCCATTAGAAGATAAGAAAGACGGGCACCATACCTTACCCTGACGTGGCGTGACCGGATCACTGCTGAGACTCAAATCTAAGCAAATGTTCGATGGGTTAGATGAGTTAGCCATTTTTCAAGAAGTTAAAAGAGAAGGGTTGGATGGAGTAAAATCTCAAAGGGTCGGAGACGATTTTCACAGATGGGCAATCTTCAAAGTGTGCATGTTAGAGGTGATCGATCACCTCTATAAAAGGAGAGGCGACACAATCACCGATTCAGAATTGAAAAAACACCACTCTTCAAAGCCGGATTTTCTTGCGTAAAGTTCGCCAGCTCTTCAGACGCAATCCCGGCTTTTC